GGATTGCAAACATCCAGTAAAGGTTTGGGAAATTTGAGTTTTCGTGCAAGGCTTTTGCTTTGCCCATTCCATGTAGATAACAAGTCTTTTAGAATAGTTATTTCCTGTAGAGATGATTATTTCCTATATAACAAGTCTTTTAGAAATCCCCCGAATAAAACGGACCAAACGGACATTTGTCCGTCTGTCCGATCGGACGTGTCAAACTGCTTCTATCAAGGAGTTTCCAATGAATGGTCTCCAAGAGAGCAATTTCAACAATACTGTCCAAGCTCAGCAACCATGTCACTCTTGTAGTTCATATTGACATTATCAATGAGTTGCTGCAGACTGAAATGTGAGGAAATACTGACTTTCTGGGGAAAGACATTTGATAGCTTGGCGGCTTGACGTCCAAGACATTCAGTGATCACCTTTGGGACCACTTTGTAGGGTAATCGTGCAAGAGCTACTCTGACTCTTTCTTTCAGCATCCTATTGTCGCGCTCAGCTGTAGGCTCGTGGTCTCCAGCTGCAGCCGGGTCAATAGCAACACCCATATCATCTAGCATATCATCCGTCAGAGGGATGAATGCCCGATCACACTTGATCGTCTTGACATGAAAGCCTGCCTTATTGTAGCGGCAAAATATCTTATCCAATGCTTCAAATACAGGGTCAGTCTTGAGGTTCTGCATGGGAATACATGAGCGATAGCGCACAGTGGTATCAATGCAGGTGAGAAACTTAGCATCTCCGATCTCCATGTGATCAATACAGACGGTAATAGATCGATTATGTTGATACAATTCCTCTGGTGGACTGAAGAAGTCGTCGTACGTCTTCTTTGGAGTTGGTCTTGTTGACTTGCCTTTCAATGTAGAGGCGTCAGGTCCAAAGATTGTTTTGGCATGATTGATCGCTTCTTCAGTGATAGGACAGTCCTTGATGAGACCAGATCGGATCGCATACTTCAGACTTTTGGTGCTTGGAGCATTGAGTATGTGCATCGCACTTCTCGCTTCCATCGCAGCC